CTGCCAGGGGCAGCTGGGAGCAAAATGTCATTTTTATTGAATTGTTTCAAATGTGTTTGTTATGGAGCACCATTAGCTGAGAGAAGAGCAGCCCTACAGCTCTTCTCTCACACTAAGGGAGAATTCCCCACTTTCCTGTGCAGGGAGAGCTCCCCAAGCAGCTCCCTCCAGTTCTGACCTCTCAGGGCTTGCTGGAGTCAGTGGCTCAGTGTCATCTACTTCACAGCAGCCAGTGTCTCCCACATGATTTTTCATAACTTTTCCTAAAAAAGTGAAATATTTTTACTGTCTCTGCTGAGTCCTGTTGTCAGCCCCCACCAACTTAATAGTTCACTTTTGTGGGTTAGTTTTGAGGATTGTGGATTTAATAATAGGTTTTACTCCTGATTAAGGGGGTATGAAATGATCCTGATTTTAGCCAAAGCCTAACTATGGCTTGGAGGACAAGGCTGTTGTTACTCCTCAGAAGATTTCTCTCTGTCCCTGCCCTCAGCAGAGGGCTTGGAATGAGATGAGCTGTAGGATCACTCCCAACCCATTCCATGATTACAAGAATTCTGCTTCATCCATGCACTGATTCTGCTGAGCACAAGGTGAGAAGGTGAGAGGAGGTGAGAAACTGCAGAACCACCATGAATCCACCATAATGATTTCTCTGGGTTAATGCCAATAACAAAACTTTTTTGTCAGTACAAAAGTTGAAAGACTTCGCAGCCCTAGATTTGGGGCTGGACCATTTAGGTTTGTTTTGTAAATTGATTGCTGTGGTTGTGGAGATTTGAAAGCTCATTTTATTTAGCACTGGAATAGTCAGTGAGGAGGAGTAAAGGGCTAAAAAGCTCCCAGCTGAGTTTCCCTCTGCCAGCCTGCTTTGACAAGGCGAGCACAGCACCCATAGCTCTGCTGTGGAGTGTAAAAGTTGGATTTGCTCCTCCCTGGCTGTTGGCAGGTACCAGCCACTTCCAGTTAGCCTTGATTAAGATGCAGACACTCTTGCTCCTCAGAAATCCACGTGGGCCTTGCTCTCTCCTTCCTGACAATGCACCAGACAATGCAGAATCACCCTGTGTTTGGTCATTTCCCACATCTGCTGTGCTGATGCCAATAAAATGAGGATGGGCTTGGTGATGAGCTGTGTCTGGAGCAGAGCTCAGGGTGGGTCTGTGCTGGAACTGGAGCTGTAAATGTTCCCCTGAGGGATGGGAGATGTTCCAGCTGTGGCAGCAGGGACAGGGGCATTTCCCAGTGCCCAGAAAGAGGGACAGGGACAGACAAGAGAGGACACAGGGCAGGGTTAAGCTGATTTTGGGAACAAATTCTTCCCTGTGAGGGTGGGCAGGCCCTGGCACAGAGCAGCTGTAGCTGCCCTTGGATCCCTGGCAGTGCCCAAGGCCAGGCTGGAGCAGCCTGGGATGGTGGAAGGTGTCCCTGCCCATGGTAGGATGAGAGAATCTTTATGGTCCTTCCCACCCAACCCATTCCAGTTCCAGCCTGCTCCAAGGGACCTGCCTGACCTCCCAAGGCACCAATGGTAACAGGAAATCAGCACAACCCACAATAACCATGTTGTCCTGGCAACTCTGCTCTTAGTTCTTATTCAGAAATATTCATTATTAAAATTAAGACTAAAAAATGTATCAACATCATCTATCAAATACAACAGTCCTTTTTAAGATTACTTGAAGTCTGCTTTGATAGCAGCACTTTTTCCCTTTGAATTTGAATCGGGTTTTATTTTCTTTCTTTTTTTATGAACACAGAGAATTTTGACTGTTTTGACATTTAAAACTAAGAGCCCCTGTAATTTGGCAGCTATGTCTCAGTGAAAATATCTAATATCTATATATAAACGCATTTATTCAAAGAAAAAGCCCCAGTGTTTGACAAAGTAGCACACTTGCAAATTTGTTTTGTAAGTCCTTTGTTTTGGCAGTGATAGATGTTCAGATCTGGAACACTTGTCACAGTTTCCAGAATTCTTCTGACCATTTATAATGTACATAAATAATTGAATTGAATAATAATCAGAGGGAAAGTTTAGAAACTCTGCAATTACTGTAGCTGAGGTGCTGGGAAAGACTGGCAAAGGAAATTTAAAAAGCTGCATTAGGGTTACATTAGAGTTCTTGTCTAAAATGTAAAAGCAGATTTAATGTGCTGTCTCCTTTTTCTCAACCCAGTTCAGTCAAACTCTGTCCTCAGCTTCACTCTGAGAGTCAGGGCTGGGGAGAGGGAACTTGAGAGACTGAGAATTCACTTCCAGGGGCACTTCAGGGGCTGAGATCCAGTGGATTTTCAAGACATGCAGGTGCCAATTCCCTGGGAAATCAGTGGGTTCTTTCTAAGAATTCTGCCTGCCAGGTCCATGTCTGGAGGTGTCTGAATACTTGGGCAATCTGGCTCACCTCTTGGTTTTAAAAATAATGCAGGGAAAAACCTGCATTTTAATGCTGTGTTTTGGGTTCATTTGTTTGATTTTTTTTTTTTCCTTCTCTGCCCCACCCAAACTTTTGGTGAAATTTAAGACTGGCATGAGTTGATCTCTTCTGAAATTGGGCCCCAACCACATTTTAGCCTTTGAATCTGGTTCAGAACTGATTCCAGCACCTGGAGTTCTGTGAGGGCCAGCAGAGTGGTGGTGAGATCCTCATTGTAGGGTCAGGCTGAATTAGGAGTTTAGAGGAACTGCACAGGGTTTCCTTTATTTTGTGAGCACTGTTATTGATGAGGGAGACAAGGAATGCTCACAGGATGTAAAGCAGCTAAATGGAGGATGTAAAATGAAATGGGTTTGATTTGTCACTTCATTCACCTTGCTTGTTATGATCAGTAACCTGGTGCTGGTGTTGTTTTCTGTCACATTCCCATTTGGTGGCATCCAAATAATGGTGGGAACTTTTGCCACACTCAGGGCTGAGTTTTGTGTCAGGAGCAGCACAAGCAGGTTATTCTAAGGATATCACAGGATCCCAGACTGGCATGGGTGGGAAGGGACCTTAAATGCCATCCCCTGCCATGAGCAGGGACATCTTCCACTATCCCAGCCTGGCCTTGAACACTGCAGCCAAACCCCTGCATGGCCCATCCAGCCCTGGCATTCACTTCACACAGAACAACTAGATTTTAGCTTGTACTCATCTCCTTTATTATTGGAAAAAAGTAGTATTCCCAGCAGGGCTTCAGTTTGATTCTGCATTTATTGCTTTATCATGATATGGCAGAACAGGATAATGTTGTTGGAGAGCTATTAGGAGCCACCTTGTAAGCAGCCCCTCATAAACAGAGTTTTATCTCCCTTACACAGCCAGGGTGGTTGGGAAATGAATGTGTTGACTCACACTGAGGCCTCTCATTTTTCTTGGCATTCACAATCACTTGGGCTAACCTTGTATTAGTAATTATGTTACCATGATCCCCATCTCATTGCAGCTTAGCCTTACAGCTGCCTTACACAACAAAAACATCCAGGCACAACACATTCATTCTACCTTAACAAATAGATGATGTGGGTACTTTCCTTTCCATCTTGTAAACACAGGCTCCATCACCTTTTTGTCAAAATCAGCAGGTTCTTTATGTTAACACCCCGTTGACTCAGCTCACTGGTGTCAGGGAGAATTCTCAACCACAAGATGTTCCACTTGTATTGCAACAAAATCAATTCTTTATAGAACTTGGTCTTGAAATCTTCAATGTTGAGGATTCTGGGACTCCCAGGTAGTCCATGTTGCTGTTTAATTACCCTTAGAGTTGTAAAGCTTTTCATCAAGCCTAATTTAAATTATTCCCTTTCCAATTTAAGCTTAATTTTGTTGTGTTCCCAGAAGGAATGGAAAATGGTTTATTCTGTGTATCAGTGTTTTCAAATCTCAGTGTTTTTACAAACTGGAAGATAAAATTACCAATATATCATGGTCAAATCCTTCCTTGCCCTTTGATGGCCTTGTTCTCTCTTTGATCCTGTATTTCTTCAGGGGAAAATCCCTGACAAAATTCATATTTATCATCCAGAGTGGTGCTGAAGTGCTGGACATTCTGCTACTGGGAGAGTTACCCTGCATCAGCACAGTCTGCCTGAAAGTAGGGATTGATTTCCAAAACTTGTAAATTATTTTTAGTTCAGTTACTGGCCCCAGAAGTTATTTTTAAGTAGGAGGTGCCTTGATCTCAATTTGTCAGTGAAATGCTTTTGATTCTTTACCTGTCTTCCTTAAATAGGTGCCTGTGATTGCCATTGCTGTTCCATGGGTGTTTTGATCTTTTTGAGGCAGTGGTGCTGACATCAGCATTGGAAATTGCCCTTTTCTTCCCTCCCTGGGTTGTTCAAGGACGTTGTGGATCCTGGGATCCC